TATCACGTTTTAACAAGATACATATCACGTTATAACGTGATACGTATCTTGTTAAAACGTGATACGTATCTTGTTAAAACGTGATACGTATCTTGTTAAAACGTGATAGTTTTAACGTGATACATATCACGTTATAAAGTAATACGTATCACGTTTTAACGAGATAGCGCTCGGATTTTTTTTTTCCTGCGTGATAGCAATACGCTTTCGTAACTTGGTAATAAAACACACAATTTTACCTTTTTTGTCTCATAACTGACATATTTTCTTTTGGAATTGGCTCAGCCAAAGAGAAACAGGAAGTGACATCAAAGGGGAACTCTGTTCATGGAAACAATATTATTTGAACTCTGACTTCATCTTTGATCGTGACTCAAAATAATCTAAAGAAACATCAGATTCTTCTTTAGTCTGTTGTARCAACGCTCTGTTTACATGCAGACGTTCCCCTTTGACATCACTTCCTGTTACCTCACATGCAAATATCTGAACAACTGTTCATCTCAGTGGTGTGAAATTTCTTTTGCAATTCATGATATTTTTCCAAAAAAGCATTCATATTTGTTGCAAAAACTGGAAGTCACAGGCACTTTAAGTCCAACATTAAACACTGTAGAAACATAAAAATGATCATGCAAGGAGTTAMAAAAAGAAAAAGGTTAGTAGTTTTCATAACGTGGACGTTTGAGCTTCATATTGAATTATTTGTAAAGTTTATTTTTTGTCTCCACCACAGTTTACTGCAGTCGGCTAAGGACGGAGGGAACAGGCGCACAGCTAACGTGCGAGYGTACGGCTTCGCCAACCTCTTCGTTCTGGAAAAGAAGGACCTGTTCGACATCCTCGTCCACTACCCGGAGTCCCAGAAGGTCCTGGCCAAGAAGGGCAGGTGTGCGACCTGCGAGCACGTCCCGAACACTTTGGTTTTCAGCTGCTGATTGTGTTTTTGTTTTTAAAACACAAAGGCAGCTGATGAAATCCAAAGCTGCGACGGGAGCTCCGGCCAAAGAGGAGAAGCAGAAAGGTCTCGCTCTGTTTGGACAAAAACCACCGACGCCGAAGCTCCTCAGAGCCTTCGGCAACCTCCGTAAAGGAGGCCTCCTGGACAAACTGAAGGTAWAAGTCCTCGCTGACGTCAGGTCCAGCTCAGAACCGTTGGTGAAATCTTCTCTTCTGTTCACAGAAAGGAGCGGAGGAGGCCAACTAGCAGCTCTGACCAAACTGGGGAGTATGTTTTTATTTTCAGTGCAGCTCAGAGAACARAAACAAAAGAAGCTTGTTGTAACACCTGAGCAGACAGCTGCACACTTACATAGTTCGTAAATAAAATCATTATTGCACCGCTGCTCCTGAGCTGAGTCTTTAACACTGAAGCCTCCAGAAGTGGACCTGTCGGTCGTGTCCTCCTGTGATCACGGCGTTACACGTGTCGTTCATCCACACGGCCGTGACGGCACCTGAACARACACAGCTTTAACCTCAACAACACAAACCTGCTCCCAAACCAAGAACTCTGCTCTACCTGAGTGTGCAGGGATCCGTCCGGTGACCGAACCGCTCAGCAGGTCCCAGAGGACCAGGTCCCCGGTCCGGCCCCCGCTCAGCACCGAGTTCCCGTCCCAGCAGAAACACCTGAACACAAAACGACCTCCATAAGCTGTGAGGTGACRCAGAGGAGCAGGAAGGCTCAGGTTCTCACCTCTGCTCCTCCTCAGCCTTCAGCGAGGAGAGGACCGTTCCTGTCTGCACGTCCACCACCTTCATCCAGGAGTCTTCACCCGAGCTGAGGACGTGTCGACTGTCTGAGGAGCACACGTGTTCTTCAACTTAATAAAGATGGCTTAAATCTGCAGCACAAACTACAGTCAGGTCCACTAAAGCACTAATTTCTTCATTAGTGCTTTAGGGCTTTTGCTATTTTTTAATTCATTAGTGGATTAGCACTTGCTAAATTTATGAGCTAAACTTAGAAACACTAACTGAGGTCTATAAATGTTATTGACCAACATCATTGTTCACAGTTGAAGGTGAAAGCTGTCACACATTTTGTTCATAAGTGTCAAACTCAAGGCCCACAGGCCAAATGTGGCCTGCAGGTGACTCATATTTGGCCCGACAAGAGCACTAAGTGACAACATTCTGTACACAGTAAATATTGTTTCATGTCTCAACTGGATTATATTAGAATAGAAAGAGCCTTTATTGTATTCTCTATTCTAATATAATCCAGTTGAGACATTAGTGCTTTAAAATTAGCTTTTTCTAAATTTTTCAGTGCTTTAGGATTAGGGGACCTAAATATTTGAGTTAGTGCTTTAGGATGAGGGGACCTAAATATTTGAGTTAGTGCTTTAGGATTAGGGGACCTAAATATTTGAATTAGTGCTTTAGGATGAGGGGACCTAAATATTTGAGTTAGTGCTTTAGAATTAGGAGACCTAAATATTTGAGTTAGTGCTTTAGAATTAGGGGACATAAATATTTGAGTTAGTGCTTTAGGGTTAGGGGACATAAATATTTGAGT